GCTCATCTTGCTGGGGTCCTATGACCCCAGCTGACTTCCTGCCCTTTGGGCGGGGGGCTGGACTCGATGATCTTCCGAGGTCCCTTCCAGCCCTGATGTCTATGAAATCTATGAAAGCGGCCCTCCACCTGAAATAATTGCCCACCCCTGCTTTAAAGTCTAGGAATCTCTAATTCACTGCCTGTATCTCTAATTCCTGCACTCAATAGCTCCTGATGCCCCTTTTCTCCAAGAATTTGTCCAATCCCTTTTTTGAATCTAGCTAAACTGTTGGCTTCCACCACATCTGGCGGCGATGAGCGCTGTGCTTTTATGACGCCATCTGAAAAAGAATGTCCTTTTGTTAGTTTTAAACTGACTACTTACTAGTTTCATGTTGTGACCCCTAGTTTTTGTGTGAGATATAAATCCCTATTTACTTTTTCGTCACCATTTCAGCATATCGTGTCCCCTCTCAAGCATCTCTTCTAAACTGAACGGTCCTGGCCTCTGTAGCCTCTCCTCATGTGGAAGCCCCCCCCCCCCCCCCCCACCCCCAAACACAGGAGACACCTTGGTGAGGGGCAGGCCCCCTCCATCCTACAGCGGTGAGCGGTAGGGTTGTCACCTCCTTGTTAGAAATACCTGCATAAACCTTTGTGTGTCACAAGAAAATGGGTTGAGGAAATGCAAAATCTGTGTTGTAACAGCTGAGGCTGGTAAGCTTTCCATTAACTTCTGCTGCATTGTAACCAGAGGAGTAAGGGTTGGTGATATAGGGGTGTAAGTTGTAACGGTGTTGGTCTAAGGACACAGGCAGACGAGGCTCTTTGGGTAAATCTGGGTTTTTTTATTAGACCAACTGAAATTGGTGATACAGCATATACATTTCATCAGCAAGGATACACACGCTCATATACAGTATACAGGCACATAAAACATATACAGTACAGCAGTGTTTCTCAACCCTTGGGACGCGTCCCACTGACGGGACTCAAAGGTCGCGTCGGCAGGACTTCAACCAATTGCCCGATTGAAAAAATCAGTTGTTTGCACTTCAAATAGGTGAACTGACAGATATCTCGAACAGTACAATTTTGTGGTGTTTTGTTTTTATCGTGGTGGGACCGGGGTTTTTTCACAAAATGCCTGGTGCAACATAAGGTGCAAGAGGTTGAGAACCGCTGCAAAACAGCCTGCGCCATGCATGTACCCAGGCACCACGTGCAATGCATAGATGATACAGCCTGTGCAATGCATGTACGATCCAGCATGTACATTCATGAGAGGGGATTTCAAGGGCTGGTGGCCCGTCCATCACCAGGAGGGAGACTTCTCCTCGCCCGCGTTAGCCCCCTTGTGAGGAGACCCGCGCCCAGCGGCGGCCCGGGCGGCAGGTGCGAGGGGCGGGGCGATGCACGGGGCGGGGGGGAGACCCCCCCAGAC